AGGAGTATATATCCTGGGAAAATATGGACAGAAGAAAATCAGAGAAATACAAGAAAGAGAAGCTGCAGAGTACATTGCTCAAGCACGACGACAGTATCATTTTGAAAGTAACCAGAGGACTTGCAATATGACAGGTAAGGCAAAGAGAAATATTTATACATGTATAAAGTTACTTGATGATTGGGGTGCCTGGGTGGCTCAGTCGTTAAGCATCTGCCTTCGGCTCAGGTCATGATCCCAGAGTCCTGGGATTGAGCCCCACATCGGGCTCCCTGCTTAGCAGGAAGCCTGCTTCTCCCTTCCCCACTCCCCCTGCTTGTGTTCCCTCTTTCCCTGTGTCTCTCTCTGTCAAATAAATAAATAAAATCTTAAAAAAAAAAAAAGTTACTTGATGATTTATATTAATTTGCATACCTTCAGGACCAAAGCTAGAGGAAAAGGCAAAAGAAGAATGATAAATCTAGCAAGGATTTATATGATTTAACTGAAATACATCATTAAATGTTGATTTTTAAAATCAGTATAAATCAATATACAATATGCAATAAATGCCTGTTCACTCACTTTATTTATTCACTCAGCAAATACTTGGGGTACCCAGTGTTGGGGGAAACAGGTGAAAGATTAAAAAAAAAAAAATCCCTGACCTTTAGAATTTATATACTAATGAAAGTAACAAATGATAAACAACATATAAATAACTTTAGGCAGTGATGGCTGCCATAAGGAGAATAAAGCTGTGAGAGAGGTGGGGATATTCTTTAAGAAATGGCAATCAGGAGAGTCAGGCCTCTTTGAGGAGGTGACATTTGAAGAGAACCAAATGATTCAATGGAGGGAGCCATGCAAAATGCCTTCGGTGGGCACAGACTTGATCCTTTCAAGAAATAGCAAAAGGGCTATGTAGCTAGAGCAGAATGAGCAATGGAAGAGTAGTAGGAAGTGAGGCTACAAGGATAGGCCTGATTTCATTAGGCTTTATAGCTGTAGTAAAAATTCCTAAGTGTGTTAAATTTACTGTAGGCAACTACAGACCCATGAGTGTAGCACAGTAGTATACACTAATCAACATGAATAATTTAACTTCTAGAGCTAGAAACCTACTGGGAGAATGCCATAACAAAATCGACTGCCCACATTTGAAGGGAACAGATATTAATAACTGGCATAACCCCTTAAAGAATTAGTTTTCAAATCCATGTCAAACCTGTTTTTCTTTGCTATTGTTTAAAGCTTAGTCTTTTCTCTTATGCTTCTTTTAAGAACAGTTAATTTAGAAAAAATTGTAAAGGTAGGTTCTCTTTATTTACTTTTGAAAGAGTTTTTTTCTGAGTTTAAAGGACTTTATTTTTAGTATAATAATAATACTTAATTCTATAAAGCAAATAGTAATCATAAATACTGCATGTAATGACAACTCAGATAAAATGCATTAAGGAGGGCATGTGATATGATGAGCACTGGGTATTATTTGCAACTAATGAATCACTGAACTCTACTCCTGAAACTAATAATGTACTATATGTTAATTGAATTTAAATAAAATAAATTTTTTTAAAAAACAGTGAGTTCAGGGGCGCCTGAGTGGCTCAGTCGTTAAGCGTCTGCCTTCGGCTCAGGTCATGGTCCCAGGGTCCTGGGATCGAGCCCCGCATCGGGCTCCCCGCTCAGCGGGAAGC